CAGCTGGAAGAGTTGAAGAGGGACGGGAAGAGAACGAGCAGACAGAAGCCTCGTGGCGACAACGTGACAAAGCAGCTGGAAGAGTTGAAGAGGGATGATGCCGAGTGTGCTAACGACGTTGTGGTGGGTAAAGGCATTGAAGGAAGGGATTTGGTGCAGTTGAGGAAATCAACAAGGACGAGGAAAGCAGTGGAGGAAGGTGTGGAGAGCAAAGCAGCAGGGGCAGCAGCAGCAGGAGGAGGAGGAGGAGGAGGAGGAGGAGAGAAACAAGAGACGGTGGTTCTCCAGGGGAAAGAGAAGGGTGGAACAGTTATTAACAACAACAGCAACAAAAATACAGGGCCAAAGCCGAAGCAGAAGAATGGATTGGGAGGAGGAGGTAGTAATGAAAAGGAGGTGCAGCTGAGGAGATCAACAAGGACAATGAAAGCAGCAGAGGAAAATGTTGGGAAAAGAGGAGGAGGGAATCAAGAGATGGCGATCCAGGGGGAAGAGAAGGGAGCATCACTAAACAACAACAAGAACATCAACAGCAAAAACAACAGCAACGACAACAACAACAGAAAAGGCCAAAAGCAGAAGCAGAAGAAGATGGAAGCCAGCAGGGGTCAATCTGAGGATAGTTTAGGAGATGGGAGGGAAAAACAGATGGCAAGAGGAGTACAACAAATAGGTTGGAGAGGGAAGAGGAAGCTGTCTACCATATTGGAACAGAAGGCAGAAGCTGGTGATGAAGAGGAGGAGGAGGAGGAGGAGGTGAGACCAGCAAAGATGGTAAAGGGAAAAATGGCAAAATGTGATCCGAAGACAAAAGTTCTCAAGAAAGGGGAGAAAACGGACGCAGTGGAAAAACAGGCTTATGCTGAAGGTGAAGATGAAGAGGAGGAGGAGGAGGAGGAGGAGGAGGAGGAGGAGGACGACGACGACGAGGAGGAGGAGGAGGTCAGGACAACAAAGACGGGAAAGGCAAGAGCTGCACGAGCTGCCCAAAACACTACCAGAGGCTGCAAGGAAGGCGAGGAGAAAATGGATGTGATTATGGAAAAGGTTCATGTTAAAGGTGAAGATGGAGGGAAGCAGCAGGAGGAGGTGGTGGTGGTGGTGGAATCCACCAAAAAGGATAAGGCAAAAAGAGCTGCACGAGGGGGTCGAAAGACTACCAGTGGCCGCGAGGAAGGTCAGGAGAGCGCAGAGGTGGTGACAATGGAAAAGGTGTATGTTGACGATGGCAGGCCGCCATGGCAACAGCTTGTCCATAAGAAGGCTGAACCTGAGTGGATTGCATATGATCCGACCACAATGAGGAGGTCATTACCAACAGCATCATATGATCCGACCACAATGAGGAGGTCATTGCCAACCGCATCCTCGATTTCTTCTTCACTCCATGAGCAGAAAAAGAACGGACTAAAGATCTTGTCCTGGAACGTGAATGGATTGCGCGCTCTGATGAAGGATAAGGATAACTGTGTCTTGACTCAGCTGGCTGAGAGAGAAGGAGCCCATGTAGTTTGTCTTCAAGAAACGAAGATTCAGGACAAAAACGTTGAGGAGATCAGTGAATTGCTGTCATCCAGTTTCCCAGCTGCCCATTGGGCTTGCAGCTCTGCCAAACTGGGTTATTCTGGCTGTGCTGTACTCTGCAAAAAACCTCCAATTTCGGTTAAGTATGGACTGGGAGACGACAAGCATGACAAAGAAGGCCGCTTGATCACTGTGGAGTTTGCAGACTTCTTTCTAGTCACCTGCTATGTGCCGAACTCTGGCGACAAGCTTGTCAGACTGCAGTACAGAGAACAGGAATGGGACCCTGCGCTGTCCCACTATCTGAAGGGCCTGGAAACCACTAAGCCTGTCATCCTGACCGGCGACCTCAACTGCGCTCATCAGGAAATAGATATATATCATCCTGAAGGAAATCGTAGGAGCGCAGGGTTCACAGATGAAGAGCGTCGGTCTTTCGAGGCCAACTTTTTGCACAAGGGTTTTGCAGACACCTTTCGGCGACAGCACCCAAAGGCGGTCGCATATACTTACTGGGCTACACGCTCAAGAGCGCGATCGACAAACAGAGGGTGGAGACTAGACTACTTTCTTGTCTCAGAGGCTCTTGTAGATAGGGTCCTTGACTCGTACACACTTCCGGATGTGCTTGGGAGCGATCACTGCCCCATTGGACTGACATTGTTGAGCGCATGATAGGGTTCTCATGATCCCAAGCATCCATCCTAATTCTCCCTACTCTCTGATAGAGTTGAATGGAGGAATGGCCATACAAACCCTTGCTCTCAAACACATACACTCCCAGCTCCAAATATCCTAATTCTCCTCTCTCTGTGGTAGAGATGAAGGAAGGAAGAAGGAAGGAAGAAAGAACGAAGAAGAAGGAAAGCAATGGCCATATCTACCCGTGCTTTCAAACAGACATGAACAGCTGACAATAGCATAAAAAAAACACATGCTCCATGTGTGAAGTTCAAGATCGGCTTCACGAAATCGTCAGGCAGATGATAGGTAGATAGGTCGTGCAACATCCTTTTTTTTTCCTGTTTTTGTCTTGTTTTGTTTTGCGTTGTATTGTATTGTTTTGTTCTGCTTTTTCTTTTTCAGCTTTTTGGATTTTCTTGTTTTCTTTTTCCTAGGTCACACAACATCCTCCTTTCTGTATGGAACAAAGTGTTCGTTGATAGGTTCACGATGCCTTAACAAAGTGCAGTGTGCCTATCGGTTGTTTCAGTAATGCTAGTAAGTTGTTTCTGTTTTCCAATTGTCATTTTCGTTTTCGTTCCAGTATTGTTTTTTGTTTGTTCCGATTATCGCTTTTGGTTTCCGGTCGTTGATAGAGTGAGTATCAGCAGCTACCAACTGGTTTAGCTCAGTTGGTACACCCATGAACTGTAGAAATATAGATCTGAGTTAGAATCCCGGTGCCACCTGGGCACGGTCATTGCACTTATGATATCTCCGGGCCATGCCTTTTAAAAAGTGAAGTAGCAGGAGCTCGGGATGCTCACAAAGAGGAGTTGAGTAAGTAGCTGTGGTCTGGTAATGAAAAAGAGAACAAAAGAAAGTAAGGAAAGGGGTGGAAGATGGGTGTAAGGTTTTCGGCTATGATGGCGGTGGTAGGGGCATTTTGCTTTTACAGTTTTTCCTCTCCAATGTTGTCTTTTTCTTTTCAAGCAGTTTTCCCGTAGGAAGGTCAGACGGAAGAGCAAGGAAGGTGGTGCATGCCAGGAAGGAGCCTGTAAATTTTGTTATGAGGAATGGTTTGCCCTGCTGCTGCAAAAGCAGCTTGGCGGTGAGGTGGTTGCATGCGCCCAACTGCCTTTGGCCTGTGTTCGGCCCAGTTCCCGTATCAACTGCCTGAATTTCCTTGAGTTGCGTGATGACCAAAATAGGGCCCTGCGGGCCTCGTCGAGCCTGCCTTCACTTAGGGCGGCCGACTTGCTTCAGAATGGGGCCATAAGGGGGGTCATAGAGGCATTGGCCTCGCACTATTAAGCCCTCATATCAACATCTAAGGAGGTGACTTCATTAAAAATGAGACCTTCCTCTCTAACGTACTGCCAATTATCTTCCCCTGAATAGGACATACAGTCAATAATAGCCGTATTTGGGGCAACATTGAGTCTAGATACGTTCCATTCAGTGGAGGCCTGTTCTCGTTCGTGCTGGGCCTCAGGCTATCGGAGCCTGCTGGAAGCTTCCTGGGACTGGACGCAGGCAGGCCACTTCGATATAGCGAAGGGCCTGCCTCCGCATTCGCCATTCGGGTGCTGGCTGCATGCTGCACTATTTGCTGGCTGGCGCCTACGCGCTCATGGGCGAGCAGGGAAGGAGCAGGCAGCCATAGCCGAGCTGCGCTGCTGTAAGCTGGGTGTGGCGCAGGGTGGTCCTTGGGTGCAAGTGGCATCTGTGTGTTGGGGAACGAGGTTGTGAGTGAGGCGAGAGACATACCTCGTGCTGGAAGCGTGCGACAGTGGTCGCTGTATGCTCGTACTTCGGGAAAGCTGTTGATGTCATCTTTCGGCATTGTAGTCTAGGCTAGATAGGATCTGCCATCTGTAGTCTGGGCGCTGAGCGGCAGATAGGATATCAACATTGGTTCTTCATTGATGATGATGATGAGACTTTACCAGCATTGTCAAGTATGAGCTCGTGGTGTCTTCTTATTTGGTGAAACTCGTGATGCAATTCTGCTGTTGGTTCGAGGTCACGACTATCTGGTCTTGTGTATATGATGTTGTTTGATTGCTGAAGTTCGCTATTGCTCATCTTCCTTGCAATTTGGTATCGGAGCTGTGGTACGATTGCGCTCATCTGGCGCGTCTTCTGCCTTATGCGGTACATACATGCGGTCTGCTTGGCGAGTTTGGCCGTAAGTGGTGTAGTGAGGAGGGCGAAGATGAGTGATAGGCAACCCAGGATGTGAGGGGATCGCCAGGAAGGCTACGTGGTAGAATGTGGGTGTTGGACAGTGTGATGAGAACTATCTAATGTGCGATTGGTGCTGAGGTGGAACGACGTGCAATGCTGGTTGTGCCGAAGCAATGACTGGTCATCACAATCGGCATCTGGTCATCTGGTGAGATTACCTCTGTAGTTGGGGGCAGCTATTTGAGGTATGTTGCTCTTAACCTTATCTACCCTCTGCGACACTTCTTACCATGAGGTTGTGTGTTCCTTCTTGAGAGTCCTCTCATTGTGAGGTGTCGAGTGCGCTCAACCTTGAGAGTCGGCAATGTTCACGTGGAACATCTGGCAGAAGATGGGCGGAGCATTCTGAAAGGCCCTGGACGAAGCACTGGGTCACGGTCACCATGCCAACCCACCGGTAGTAGAGCACGCATGCTTTGCTGCTTGTCCTTTGTTCGGCTTGCTGCGCTGTTAGATGGGTGCTGAAGGGCATGCCAGCCCTAAGTGGGAGACAAGAACCGGGCGGCTTTAAATAAACACCGGTAGGGGAAACCATTGGTTGTGATCGTCGTCCGACTGCGACGTAAAATAATTCCTGGAGTCACTTGGGGGCGGACGTTGGGTTGCCTCTGGATCAGCCAATGGTTGTAAGGCTCGCTGCACGCGAGGATAATCCAGTGCAGGGCTGGCCAGCTCAGCAGATTACTCGAGGCACAGGGGTGGGCCGAACACACACCTTTTAGACACGCAACGCTCTCCGGATTGCTCAGGGACGCTGACGTCAAGTGACATTCAGGGGAACTAAGGGAGGGGTAGATTTCAGGTGATAAGTTCGAGAAGAATTTCATATTGTCCTATCCACACAAATGATTCTATTTTTATGTTTTGATTAGTTAGATGTACAACCATTTGACATCTGACAGACAACATAGTAGGACGGTATTCTGTTCATTGTGCATTCTGTTTGCGGACTAATCAGGCTAAAAATAGTTTCATTTGTAGGAATCTGACTTGCCTGTTGACCCCAAGTGATATCTACTCCGAAGTAGCCACCAATTAATTAGTTGGTTTGTGCATTACGTTGGGATAGGCATCCAGTGTGCATTAGTGCAGATTGTGTACAGTGCTGTATCTTATGAGCGACGAGGAGGACACTAGAGAGGATGACCGGATCTTGCGATCGGCAAGGCGCCCGATTGCCCACTTGGCATTAGGACTAGAGGGTGACAGGTACCTGTTCTGCCAGCGTAGAGATAGGTTGCAGCAGCTGAGGAGGGCTAGAGCAGAGGCTAGTCGGGCACTTGGGAGTGAAGCCGCAACTTCAGAAGCTATGGTTACTTTTGCGCAGCAGACTACTCAGGCCGGTAGTTCAGGATCTGTCGGGTGAACGGTCGTGCAGACCCAGAGTCAGTAATGTAGTTGAGATGCAGGACAATCAGACAACCATCCTTCAGGACATTCAGCAAGTCTGGCCCTGTTGGTTGGGCGAGCGCAGACAACGTTGCCAATGTCCGGGCCTGGTGCCTGGCCTGTTGTACAACCTCCTCCTTTCGTCCCATCGGTGACTGGGTATCCCCATATGTAGCCCCATCATCGGTTGCGATCGCTTCCGTGGCATGCCGCTATCAGGAAGGGTATCAGTAGGATCTAGTTTGCAGGTTCTTGTACAAATAGTGTTCACCCAATCTCCGTTGCAGGTTGCACGCAGCTTGTTGTCTCGCAGTCTATACAGCCGCAGGGTACACAGCCCCAACAGCTAGCACAACAACCTGTGTCACAGGGTCCACAACCCGGAGTGATGCAGGGACCGGGACAAACACAGTGGGTTCCAAAGACGGCCATCGCCGCTCCCAAACCTTTCACAGGGGATAAGAGGGGCGAAAACGTCGACACATGGTTGAGGGCAGTGCCGGTCTATGTCAAGTGTAAGCTTACCTTGCAGCACGAGGAAGTGTTTGTGGCTGCATCCTATCCAAAGGGTAGTGCAACACGATGGTTGAGTGGTTTGGTGCAACTCCAGGGATATGGTCATGACTTCCGCTCTTGGGCAGCCCACCAGAAACTGGAGGACTTCCTCAAGATGGTGGAGGAAAGGTGGCATGATCCTCGAGAGGCTAAAAAAGCCACTGGCGCGATCTTGACATTGCACACGAGGCAGTTTAAGTCAACCAGGGAGGCCATCGACGTTGTAAAGCGTCTGATCTGTGTCCCTGGGGTGCGCTATGACCCCCAAGTATTACTCACCTCCTACCTGAGATGCTTTCCAATGCCTCTTAGGAATCAGTTGGCAGGTGAGGCCAACATCAACATTCACAACTTCCCCTCGTTCAGCAAGAAGGCCCTAGACCTTGAAGTGAAGATAGGGTATGGACATAATCCCACAACGGACGGTAGGAAGAAAACACTGCTTCCCAACTGGAAGGCGAAGGGCCGCATTATGCTTGTCGATAGCGATGGATCAACCATCGAATTAGACGATAACTTCCAAGGAGGAGTAGGTTCAAAGGCTGGCAACACAGAAGCTTCAGAGGGTGGAGTAGTTGCTGCCGTAGCCCAGAAAGGTAAGGCGACCGTTAGACGCCGTGGAGGTTCCCGGTCTAGGAGTCAAGTTGACCCCAATGCTCCTCCATGGGAGAAAGCGGGTCTCACAGAGGACGCGTGGAGAGATCAGTAAACACGGCAGGATTGCATTCGTTGTGGCTAATACGACCATAACCAGTTCAAGTGCTGAAACAAGAAGGTGACCGAGAAGATCCCGCCTACGATGGGGCAGGCGTTGGGATCCTCTCATCCCGTTGGTAGCAACGTGGCTAGTAGTTTTGGCAGTGCTCCGGGAAACACGTTGGGCCAGTAGGAATAGTAGTTGTTCCTGCTAGGGTCGAGGTGGTGCAGACACCCTCAACATCTCGAGAGATGGCCCAAGCTACTGACTCCAGCGTCGTCCCGCAAACACGTTCAGACCCATCGAGCCTCTGTTTGATAGAATGTGTTTGAGTCCTTAGAGGAACTAGAGGAGGAGTGGTCTAGATCAGACCCACTAGCTTCTTGGAAGGCCCTAGTCAAAGCCCCGAAGGGTGAGATGTTCGCCAGCGTGGTGGTCATCGGCGGCTGCAAGGCCGGGGCATATTATGACACTTGCTCGACTAGGAACTTTATTAGCCGTGCGTGCGTTGAGAGGCTGTGCTTACAGGGTCAAGTGCAGCGCCTGAGTCGACCTGTGGAGTCGACCTATGTCAACAAATAGCGTATGGTAGTCAACGACTACCTTCAAGATGCTGTGTGGTTTCATGTACGCGGGAGGGGAATTGAGACATCACGTCTCGTTCCTAGTGAGCGATGAACTCCCCATGGACATATTGTTGGGTATGTACTACCTCTCTGTGGCACAACCCCAGTTTGATTGGGATCGAAAAGTGGTCAAACACACTTTGCCATGTGGAGGGACCGCCAGATTGTGTAAGTTCAAGGCTGGTAGTCTGATCGAGTCACATGGATGCATGTGTGCGGCCGCGTTCTATAACTATTATAAGCAAAATCAGGAGGAGGGTATGTACTTAGTTTATGTCTCTGCTGCAGGCGAGCCGGTGAAAATGCCGCCGRAGATAGAKSGAGTAGTTGCCAAGTACCCTGATCTATTTGAARAGYCGACAGGGGTTGTAGAGAGGGAGGTCGTCCACGCGATAGAGATTATCCCARGGTCTRGCATCCCGAAGGGTAGGATCTATCGGATGTCTCTAGGCGAGCTCGATGAGCTTCGCCGACAACTCGAGGAACTCGTAGAGAAGGGTTGGATCCGACCGAGTGTCTCTCCTTATGGGTCTCCAGTACTATTCTTACCTAAGAAGAGGGAGGGAACACTTAGGATGTGCATTGACTATAGGGGCCTCAATGCCATCATCGTCAAGAACAGAGAACCCATACCGCGCATCGATGATTTGCTTGATAGAGTGCAAGGGTGTCGTTACTTCAGTAAGATATATGTGAAGTCCGAGTACCATCTGATTGCAATCCGGCCCGAGGATCAACACAAAACCGCATTTCAGACCAGGTACGGTCTGTACGAGTTTGTGGTGATGCCTTTCGGCCTTTGCAATGCTCCTGGCACCTTTCAACACGCTATGAATCGGATATTCCATGAGTTGGATAAGTTCGTCATTGTGTACCTTGATGACATACTTGTTTTTAGTAAGATTGTCGAGGAGCACATTGCGCACTTTGGACAAAGTCCTCAGTCTCCTACGACAGCACAAGTTCAAGATCAACCGTGAGAAGTGCGAGTTTGGCCGCACCCGTGTCTTGTACTTGGGTCATGAGATCTCTGCGGAAGGGTTGAAGCCCGATGACGCGATGGTGGCCAGCATTCGTGACTGGCCACGTCCTCAGTCTGTGACTGAGATGAGATCTTTCTTAGGGATGACATACTACTATAGGACTTTCGTTAAGAACTATAGCATAGTGGCCGCTCCTTTGACTGATTTGACCCGCCTTGAAACCCCATGGGAGTGGACAGACGAGTGCGAGGCTGCTTTCAGACATCTAAAGCATGAGTTGACGCACTACGAGGTCTTGAAACTTTTCGATCCTGATAAGCCGTATATAGTCACCGTGGATGCCAGCCAATATGGCATTGGCGCGGTGCTTGCACAATAGGAGGGGCGGAAGTTGAGGCATGTTGAGTACATGTCCAAGAAAATGCCGTCTCAGAAGTTGGCTAAGTCCACCTATGAGAAAGAGCTCTATGCGGTTTACGAGGCTCTGACCCATTGGAGGCACTACCTCCTTGGGAGATTCTTCATCCTCAGGATTGATCATCATACCCTGAGATGGATGAGAGCTCAATCGATACTCTCTGACGCTCTTAAGCGTTGGATCGAAGTCATTGAGCAGTATGACTTTGACCCGCAGTATCTGAAAGGGGAGTACATGCCTTGTCGCGTAGACCTGATTTTTCAGGTGCGCTGAAAACTGAGTTCGATCTTGCGGACAATGTTACTCAGTCTTTGGTGGAAGCCTATCGTGAGGATCCGTTTATGTTTGAGATCATTCGCAGACTTGAGGCGAAGGACAAAGTAACTTCTATCGAGTTTGAGTTGGTCAAGGGCTTGCTGTTCCTTGAGAAGCCTGGAAATAAACGTTTGTGTGTTCCTAATAAGGAATCTTTGCGTAGTTTGTTTTTAGGTGAGTGCCATGATGCCACCGACCATTTTGGGTATAAGAAGACCACAACCAATCTGCTGCAGCGGTTCTGGTGGCCCACGATGATGCGAGATGCCCAGTTGTACGTGGAGACTTGTCAGGTCTGTCAAAGGGATAAGCCCCGTACTCTGGCTCCTCTTGGGCTATCGAAGCCCCTTCCGATTCTGGAACGGCCTGGTGAGAGTCTGTCCATGGACTTCATGGATACTCTGGTCACCTCCTATTAAGGGGAAGATAATAGGCAGTACGTTAGAGAGGAAGGTCTCATTTTTAATGAAGTCACCTCCTTAGATGTTGATATGAGGGCTTAATAGTGCGAGGCCAATGCCTCTATGAGCCCCCCCCATTCTGAAGCAAGTCGGCCGCCCTAAGTGAAGGCAGGCTCGACGAGGCCCTCAGGGCCCTATTTTGGTCACCACGCAACTCGAGGAAGTTTAGGCAGTTGCGCAGCGCCAGTTGGTTTAGAGAACCCAGACCCTGGGCCGCCTGTGTGAATGTATGGAAAGCAGGCCCTGGGCTGGATATGGGAACTAGGCCGAACACAAGCCAAAGGCAGTTGGGCGCATGCAACCACCTCAGCCCCAAGGCCTGTTCTCGTTCGTGCTAGGCCTTAGGCTACCGAGGCTTACTGGAAGCTTCCTGGGACTGGATGCAGATAGGCCACTTCGATATAGCAGAGGGCCTGCCTCCGCATTCGCCATTCGGGTGCTGGCTGCATGTTGCGCAAGCGCTGCTGCGCTATTTGCTGGCTGGCGACTACGCGCTCACGGGCGAGCAGGGAAGGAGCAGGCAACCATAGCCGAGGTGCGCTTCTGTAAGCTGGGTGTGGCGCAGGGTGGTCCTTGGGTGCAAGTGGCATCTGTGTGTTGGGAAACGAGGTTGTGAGTGAGGCAAGAGACATACCTGGTGTTGGAAGCGTGCGATAGTGGTCGCTGTATGCTCGTACTTCGGGAAAGCTGTTGAGGTCATCTTTCGGCATTGTAGTCTAGGCTAGATAGGATCTGCCATCTGTAGTCTGGCGCCGAGCGTCGGATAGGATATCAACATTGGTTCTTCATTGATGATGATGATGGGACTTTACGAGCATTGTCAATTATGAGCTCTTGGTGTCTTCTTATTTGGTGAAACTCGTGATGCAATTCTGCTGTTAGTTCGAGGTCACGACTATCTGGTCTTGTGTATATGATGCTGTTTGATTGCTGAAGTTCGCTATTGCTCATCTTCCTTGCAATTTGGTATCGGAGCTGTGGTACGATTGCGCTCATCTGGCGCGTCTTCTGCCTTATGCGGAACATACATGCGGTCTGATTGGCGAGTTTGGCCGTAAGTGGTGTGTAGTGAGGAGGGCGGAGACGAGTGATAGGCGACCCATGATGTGAGGGGATCGCCAGGAAGGCTACGTGGTAGAATGTGGGTGTTGGACAGTGATGAGAACTATCTAATGTGCGATTGGTGCTGAGGTGGAACGACGTGCAATGCTGGTTGTGCCGAAGCAATGACTGGTCATCACAATCGGCATCTGGTCATCTGGTGAGATTATCGCTGTGGTTGGGGGCAGCTATTTGAGGTAGGTTGCTCTTAATCTTGTCTACCCGCTTCAACACTTCTTACCGTGAGCTTGTGTGTTCCTTCTTGAGAGTCCTCTCATGGTGAGGTGTGGAGTGCGCTCAACCTTGAGAGTCGGCCATGTTGAGGTGGAACATCTGGGAGAAGATGGGCGGAGCTTTCTGAAGGGCCCTGGACGAAGCAGTGGGTCACGGTCACCATGCCAACCCACCGGGAGTAGAGCACGCATGCTTTGTTGCTTGTCCTTTGTTCAGCTTGCTGCGCTGTTAGATGGGTGCTGAAGGGCAGGCCAGCCCTAAGCGGGAGACGAGAACCGGGCGTCTTTAAATAAACACTGGTAGGGGAAACCATTGGCTGTGATCGTCGTCCGACTGCCTGGAGTCACTTGGGGGCGGACGTTGGATTGCCTCTGGATCAGCCATGGTTGTAAGGCTCGCTGCACGCGAGGATAATCCAGTGCAGGGCTGGCCAGCTCAGCAGATTACTCGGGGCACAGGGGTGGGCCGAACACACCTTTTAGACACGCAACGCTCTCCGGATTGCTTAGGGACGTTGACGTCAAGTTACATTCAGGGGAACCAAGGGAGGGGTAGATTTCAGGAGATAAGTTCGAGAAGAATACCATACTGTCCTATCCACACAAATGATTCTATTTTTATGTTTTGATTAGTTAGATGTACAACCATTTGACATCTGACAGACAACATAGTAGGACGGTATTCTGTTCATTGTGCATTATGTTTGCGGACTAATCAGGCTAAAAATAGTTTCGTTTGTAGGAATCTGACCTACCTGTTGACCCTAAGTGATATCTACTCCGAAATAGCTACCAATTAATTAGTTGGTTTGTGCACTACGCTGAGGTGGGCATCCAGTGTGCATTAGTGCAGATTATGTACAGTGTTGTAGGTTATGAGTGTCTAGAGAGGACGACCGGATCTTGCGATCGGCAAGGCGCCCGATTGCCCACTTGGCATTAGGACTAGAGGGTGACAGGTACCTGTTCCGCCAGCGTAGAGATAGGTTGCAGCAGTAGAGGAGGGCTAGAGCAGCAGAGGCTAGCCGGACACTTGTGAGTGAAGCCGCAACTTTAGAAGCTATGGCTACTTCTGCGCAGCAGACTACTCAGGCCGGTAGTTCAGGATCTGTCGGGTCAACGGTCGAGCAGACCCAAAGTCAGTCCACTGGCGTAATGGCAAGCCAGCCAATAGTGTTGACTTCAGACGAGATCGCCATACAACAAGCAGCATTGCAGGAGGCACAGCTACAAAAAGCATTAGGAGAGATGAAATCGGAGAAGGAAAGGATGATTAGAAGAAGAGCCAGGATGCAGCGAAGACACGCGGACGTTAGTGAGTTAGAGGAGATGGACTTGACGCACGTGAGTGATGCCGTGAGGATCGTACGGTCCGTCATGCTAAATGTAGTTAAGCGCAGACAACCTCGCCGATGTTCGGGCCTGGTGCCTGGCCCGTTGTACAACCTCCTCCTTTTGTCCCACCGGTGACTGGGGTATCCCCACATGTAGCCCCATCATCGGTCGCGATTGTTTCCCTGACATGCCGCTATCAGGAGGGGTATCAACAGGATCTAGTTTGCAGGTTTCTGTACAGACAGTGTTCACCCAATCTCCGTTGCTGGTTGCGGTTACCACGCAGCCTGTTGTCTCGCAGTCTGTACAGCTGCAGGGTACAAAGCCCCAGCAGGTAGCACAGCAACCTGTGTCACAGGGTCCACAGCCCGGAGTGATGCAGGGACCGGGACAAACACAGTGGGTTCCCAAGACAGCCATCGCCGCTCCCAAACCTTTCACAGGGGATAAGAGGGGCGAAGACCTCGACACATGGTTGAGGGCAGTGCCGGTCTATGTCAAGTGTAAGCTTACCTTGCCGCACGAGGAAGTGCTTGTGGCTGCATCCTATCCAGAGGGTAGTGCAGCACGACGGTTGAGCGGTTTGGTGCAGGGATATGGTCATGACTTCCGCTCCAGGATATGGTCATGACTTCCGCTGTTCCGCGCTTGGGCAGCCCACCAGAAACTCCAGGAAAATTGCGAAGTTCTGGGTATTTTGGAAAGTTGGATGGTATCTGGTAGCGGTATCACAAAGATGGGGGTTCCAACGGGCATGAGGGGTATTTCACAATTTTTCCTTTTTGACAGAGGGACATTCTGTTCGACCCACATCCTTCAGGGGCATTTTGGTAGATATCTAAACTTATGGGGGTACTTTGCAACTTGTCCCTTTTTTTTTTGGAGAACCAAGAACTTTTATTACCCATTCAAAAGGAACAGGGGCTGGGGGACCCCACAAAATCCTGAAAAACTGGGGCCATTACCCGGATTTGGCTCCTGCAAAATGGGTCCAGTATCCCTTTGCTCAATAGTACCTCCCCAAAATGGAAAAGGCTAAAGCCAGACACTTTTAACATTCAACATTAACTCCAACCGACGCACTTTCCGTGAGACACTGAGACTTGTTAAGGGGTATCTATGTTCTGGATAAGCTGGAATTATCTGGAGTACTGCGAATAAGAATGTAAGTTTATCTAGTCGTGGGACGAACAGTGAGAATTATGACTGCTTCAGAATGTAAGCAGAGTCAGATTCTGTCAAGCTAACCCTGTCTGTCAGTTTCTTTTTTTCAAAATTTTCCTCCTTTTCACCAAAGTTTCTGAAGCCAAGTCAAGAGCCTTATTGTTGGGTTCGCAGAATTTTAAAACTAACCTGCCCAAGTATTTGCTGTATTTCAATTTTCAAGTGTTTGTTATTTTTTGTTCTTCACAGGATTTGAACCTGGAACCCAATGAGGTGAGTACAGTTGTTTTGTTTTCCTTTGTTGTTTTCAAGCTGGTGAGTTTTGAACCCCGTACTTACGTGTAGAGTCCCTGTTAGCCTAGCATTGCGGTAGGGCCTTTTTGACTGGTAGATTGTTGCATGCTGCTCAGGGAGGCAGGGGACACTCAATGCTATGTCAGCTTTTTCTGATTTCATCAACCATTTTGGGTATTAAAAGGATTTCACGCTGTCAGTCCCGAGTCCCAGGCTGTCCCAGTAGGTCGAGTTCTAGGGTCCGTAGGTCGAAACATCGTAGGTCGGTAGAAGTCAGGTACCGAAGTGTCGAGGGTAAAAGTCCACAGGTACCGCCAGAAGAAGTCCATTCCCAAAGCCCAATTTTGCAGCAGCATCCCAAGAAAGTCCGGAGGCTTCTGGAAAACCAAAAAATGGCAACAGAGGCTGCAGGCAACCTGTACTGGTCCGAAGCCGGCTGATGCAGTCAACTGCAGCTATTTATAGCTGCTACAGTGTCGAGGCCAAAGGATTGTTCATTTGCGAAGTTCCAGAATTGCTGCTGGTTGCTTGTGCGATCGCGCGACCTGGACAGAGGGAGAAGATGCTGGTGAGAAGCAAGCGCCCTGGCGAAGAGAGAACGTCCATAGCTAGGCATAGGGAGACGGAAGACGGCGGCCATAGCCGCATGTCAGAGCGCCACATCGGAGTTGTATTCAGGGTAGATCCTAGTATTCAGAGGTTGAGTGAATACAAGACTTGAGAGTGACAGAACATTCAGAGAGTGAGAGACAGAGAGAGAGAGAGAAGAGAGACAGTGTCACACATCGAGGGAAGGGGAGTCGGATTGCAGTGTTGGGTCGCGGCCACGACCGCCGGGTACTTGAACTCTCCAATTGCATAATATCATATTTTTGAGTGGAAATCCATCCGGCGCT